AATGACAGGTAGTGCCAGCAAAAATCAGGCCCAAAGGAAGGAATGTGGCATGGAATGTCGGGGGAGAGGCATTTTCTTGGACATGTATCACCTCACTAGCTCAATTAAAAGAGCAAATTCTATTGATACAAAAACATCAAAACAGGGCAGAAAGACATACAAAATAAGAATTAAGAATGCATCATCCATGTGTTCCAATGCTTTCTAGGCTATTTGCAGATTGTACACCTCCAACACCATGGATGTGCATGCATATATGTGTTCATACATGTGTGCAGTACATTGTGTATCTCTGTGTGTACAGTGTTTCTACATCAGGTGAACGGGAGTGAGGCTACAGTAAGAGGAAGGCCCTTTGGTAGTCACACTTGGGTGCCAAACACACACTACTCTAGTGCCTCATTGCTAAAGCAGTGCATAGCATTCCCTTGAATAGAGAATTAGGTTTTTACTCTGTCAGAATCCAATGGATATTGGCCTGGCCACACAGAACTTTCTTTAGTGGGTATCTCTGTTACCTGTCAGATTCCATCCTACTGAAATATAATTTACAGTAAGTTTTAAAAATACCAGTTTAAACAGCCTAGGAATTTTGAACAGCTTTATTAATTTCAAATCTTTTGAATGCTTATTATTAAATGGGAACGCTTTCATTACTGCCCTGCACACTTACCAGGGAATGAAACCTTTCCTTTTGCTTGAAGTGTTTTGACAGAATTTCTGAAAACGAGAAAGGAAGGGCCCCCAGGAGAAAGCCAGCACACCAGGCAAATGCAATGCAGTCTCTCCTCCTCACATTCTGTGGGTTCCTCCCTGAACACACCAATTCCACACAAACCAGACTGCAGTGAGAACTCCAACTCTATAGACTCCCTTTCCACGGAGGTCCTTAGCGAATCAATTACTTTTGCTTTCATATGAAACTCTCAGGGACTGGAGAGATGGCTCAGGAGGCTCGGTAGTCATGAGCATACTCTGCTTTCTAGACAACCTGGCTTCAGTACTCGGTACCCACATTATTAGCTCACAACCACCTGTAACTCTGGCTCCAAGGGATTTGACAGCATCTTTTGGCCTCCAAATGCATATGCAATTATGTGCACATACCCACATGCCCATGTATCCACATCATTAAAAAGAAATCTTTAAAAAGGGAATTGGGCAAATAGAAACATCTACCAGTTTTTAAAAGCATCTCAAAATAAATTAAATAATAATCAATAATAATAAATGATAAATCCCACAACAAAACTAAACTCTAGTCTCCATTTCACCTTCACTTTAAAGCCAGAGCTGTCTTGCTGAAGCTTACAGAATCTAGTGCTATTCGAAGCATCTTTTATTCAATGCACACCACCTTGAAATGTTGGGAGCAGACATTTAATCTACATGAGAGCCCAACATGTTGAGGTCATTGCCAAGGCTAGGACTCCTGTTGTCTCAAATGGACTATTCCCTGCAGAGACCAAATCCTTGAATTTTATAGGTCTCTAGTAAGAAATGGCTTATGCAGAGAGCTCATCTAATCACACACACACACACACACACACACACACACACACACACACTAGTGCAAGTTCAGTAAGTATACACAGAGTGACTGAATAAAAAGTTTCAAAGTCAGCCTGTTGCCAAGCCGTCCCCTGGTGGCAGATCACATTCCTGGGCACTCTGAGCAGAAAACACGGTAGGAGGCCGTTCTAAGGGCTCTCATTCTTTCTGGTTCAGGGTAGAATTACAGAGTAGTCAAAACAAATCTCTACGATTCCCCAGAATCCTTTCTGCTTCCTGTTCTTCATTCACATGTCAGGCAAGTCGCTTCTCCCCATGACTGGCGACCAGCAAAGTTCATACACTAGGCATGGAGTTTTCTTCCTTGTGCACAATTGCATGCATGACAATCTGGATGAACAAGTTCACACTGTAGCCTACGTGACTGACACAGTTGAACCTATTTCCTCTGTGAGGGCTTTTTTTTTTAAAAATTATGGGTTTTTAAATATTTTTTCCATATTGGAATCTCATAAGTTCTAAACAGTATTTCATAGCAATAGTCTGATAAAGACACCCAGGATTGACCTTCATTCCAAGCTTTGGGTTGGCCAAAAGGAAAAGCTATTCTGGTTTCTCTCCTAAAAACACGTCAGCTATAAGGGTCTTGTCTGTGCTACAGAGAAAACACACAGCACATAATATGGCCCACTCTGACACTTAAAAGATTAAGACAGGAATGACAATCTAGACACTCTGGTTCTTCTTGATATAGTTTGTTATATTTTAAAATTTAAATTTATTTATTTTATGTATTTGGGTATTTTGCTGCAAGTGTGTCTGTGTACCACACATGCACATGGTGAGTGTATGTACACCATGCATGTATATGGTGCCACTGGAGGTTAGAAGAGGGCATCAGAGCCCCTGAGACTGGAGTTATAGATGGTTGTGATCTACCACGTCAGTTCTCGGAATCGAACCCTCAGCTCGTCTGTGAGAGTAACAAGTGCTCTTAGCCTCTGGGCCACCCCTCCAGCTCATTCCTGCCGTATTTTGAAGTGGTTTGTGGCATAGATGTAGACCTGGGTAGCACTTGTCACACATAACTACAGTCTGAAGAATTGCTTACAGCCAATTAAAATATGCATAGCTTGTCTGGGATATATATTTTGTAGTGGATTCCCTGACAGATTTGCGGATGGGACTATTTAAATGTGCTGATCATTAGCAGTTTAAATAAGTGACATTTATTTTATCAGGGGATTAATTTTTAATGTGGCAGCTGCTCTAAGACGGACTGTTGCCAGGTTATCAGAGGGACAAACTTAGAAGGAGGGACAGGATTTTTATGTTTTCAAGACTTTCAAGATTACACTTCTCTACCATCAGTGCTCAGAGACATCGGGTCTCAAAGACGGTACTGTCTGCATTGCTGTGACCAATGTGACCACATAACCAAATGTGGAAAAGCACGTGAACTTTAACAGAGAAATTTCTGAAATATACTCTTGGTATGGAAACTATGAAATTAATATATGCACCCAGTAACTATTTCCTAAGACCGCACTGCAGGAACAAAGAGCCCTGAGGATTCTTTTCCAAAGAACCCTTATTGTAAGCTGTCACAATGAGAAAGGTACGGAGCCACTATGGCTAACATAGATCAGAATAATGGGTTAAGATAAGTTATAAGAACTAATAAGTAGCCTGACCTAATGGGCCAATCAGTTTATAACCTTATGGAGTCTTGTGTGTGATTTTCCTTGGGACTTGCTGGCTTGTTGGGGTACTGGGCGGGACAGAAACCCCAACAAGCCGGCCCTCGTGTTACACCCTTATGATGATGATTTAACACTTTTTAAAAAAATAAAGCTACTTTAGAAAGCAAATCAGACAAATCAAATAATAACCAATCTAGACAACAAATGACACATCAAAACCACACGAGACTCTATTTTTCAGGGAGGGACCAGTGACCACAGAGAGATAAATGAAGAGTTGGGAGACCCATGTTCAAGATAAAGTTCAGAGACTATCACCTACTGAGTGTGTACCTGTGAAGGTCTGCCCTCATGACTGGTCGTGATCCAGTAATGATCACGTAATACTGTAATACTACAGAATCCCAAGGACTTCCCACACAGTGTCTCTGCCCAGTGCACGGCCTGAGACCTCTACAGTTGCTCTAGTTCTCATTGTTCACTGCTTCACTTTCTCTTATCAGGGATGTATACAAAAGCAGTGTCGTCGGGCACAGTAGCTCTCAAGGGACTTGTAACTGTGACGCTTGTCAGATCACTGGCTAGAGGAACTGAGTCAAGGAGAGCTGCCAGGAGAAGCCTACTGAACGTGGCCTGAATGTTGAATGTTAGTGGCATGCTTCCAGTCTATAATGAAGGTGACAAGGGATACATCAGACTTCTGGGAAATGCCATGCCACACTAGAGGAAAACCAAAGCATCCTACATCCCACTTCATTCTCCTACAGAGAAGAAACGTCTGTGTATCTAAGGTTAGCACTGTGGAAATGAACAACCTGATATCTTGTAACTACACAAAGATGCCCCCAATATTCATATTTTGGTTTAACATGTGCTGTGCTCTAGTTGGCTAGGAGCATGGAGTTCCAGTGCGCTATTGTGTGGTAGGCAAGTGTAATTACAATAGTGCGCTGGCAGGTTCAAAAAGCTAGAAGAAAGAGTTCTCAAACGTTTGTGAGTGAGCGTGTGTATGCAGGTGTATGTCTGCCGTACCTGGGTGCGTGTGCATGAGGAGGCCAGGAGTCAACCTTGGGTATCATTTTTCAGGAGCCTTGATTCTTGATACAGGGTCAGTCCCTGGTTTGGACCTTTCCAGTAAGGCTAGGTTGGCTGACTGGCCAGTGAGGCCTAGGATTACAAACCTGCATCACCATGGCTGGCTCTTTATGTGGGTTCTGGAAGACTGACTTGGGTTTTTATGCTTGTGAGGCAAGTAGTTTACCAACTTAGTGACTACTTTGGGCCCTCTTGAGATTCTTTTTTTACCTTAAAATATGATTCTTTAGCAGATGAATGTATATATCCTGATTTAAACATTGTGCACATATGAAAGTATTACATGGGACTCCTTTCATAAGTACAATTGGAATGTTTTTATGTATCAGTAAAAAAATGAATCTAAAGAATTAATAGATGAAAAGGGGTAGTAAGAATATATACTTTGCTAAAACTAAAATATAATCTCAAACATAAACCTTATCTATTTCCCAAGAATAAGATAGAAGAGCAAATTTAAAAGCATAGGAAATAATTTCAATATCATTTTACAAATGGGTAATCCAATATCACGGGTGAGTCCATTAAACAATTCTTATTTGAGTGACTTACAATCTTAGTCCAAATACTGACTTATAGCTCTCCCTTTGTGGCACACAAATCACAAGCACAAATGCTTGTGAGAGTTACCCCTCGCAAAACTGGACAAGGCTTCAGACACAGCTTCACCGCACACTGAAGAAACCATACCTTGAAATCATACGTGGCATCTGGGTTCTCATCACAGGCAATGACTTCTGGTGCCATCCAGTAGGGGGTCCCAATGAATGTGTTCCTCCTGCCCACTGTTCGGTCAAGCTGGGCACTCACTCCGAAGTCCACTATTGAAGAGAGCACAGTTGACTAGATTAGAACCTCAGGCTGGATGTGAGAATAAAATGGACATGCATTCCTCATGTGTAAGATATATATATATATATATATAACAAAAAGTTATGATTTTATATTTATTTATTTGGCCAACTTGGCACAATATGTGGAAAGGAACCTCAACTGAGAAAACGTCCCCATCAGCTTGCATCTGGCCAATCTGTAGGGCATTCTCGTGATAGATGGTTGATGTGGGAGGGCCTAGCCCACTGTGGGTGGAGTCATCCCTGGGCAAGGGGAAGATAAGGAAGGAAACCGAGCAGGTAGCACAGAGCAAGCCTGTGGGCAGCACTCCTCCATGGCTTCTGCTCCAGCTCCTGTCTCCTAGTTCCTGCCTTGAGTTCCTGCTTTCCACTTTGCTCATGGATGGACTGTGACCTGAGACTTGTGGGCTGAAACAAACCCTTGCCTTACCCAAGACACTTTTGGTCATGGTGTGATATTACAGCAATAGAAATTTGATTAGGACAGATTTGAACCACTTCTCACACACATTTTCTGGGACAGGAAAGGTCTTAAGATCATCACCATCCATCCCCCAGAAGATTTTCATCCTCCACCAATGAGATTCTATGCCATTGAGCAAAAATAACCTATGACCCCCACTTCACCCAGTCCTCCCCCTGCCCACATCTCTAGGACACCGACTATTCCGATAAATCAGTGGAATCCCACAGAGCACATCTTATTTCACTTAACACAACGTCCTGAAAGCTCACGCAGGTTGTAGTGTATGTTACAGTTTTCTTCCTTTTTTAATGGGCATTTGGTCCTTTCCACCATTTCTATACTGTGAACACGTACCCTTAAAATGCATGGTTAAGTGGATAAATACACCAATGAGGAAATCACAAATTGCTGTATTTGATTATACCAAGACTCCATTGAGACCAAAACGTCAAGGGTTCAGTAAAAGACAGGGCACAAAGGGTAACACAAAACTCTAATTGAGACCTAAGGACTAGTGTCAGACTGTCAAGTTTCCAGACCATTCCTGCCGCTGCTTAGCAGTGTGACTAGTAAGCAAACCACCCCTATGTCTGGTTTTACAAATACACAATGCAAAGATGAAGACAGCACCATGGAATGACCCTGTTTACGGGAGATAATAGAAGTGCCTCTTGAGAGATGTGGCGTACATTATATTTGTAACAAGTGCTTGTTAATAGCATCAGGAGGTCCCCCGAGGCCCCATCACCTAGTCTCTATGAATGCATCCATTTAGCCTGCACAGTGTATGCTATTGTTTCAAAAAGCAAGTGTTCATGTGATGAACGCTTGACCCCAGTTGCCAATAGAATGGGAAATTATATATTTTAACAAAAGGGAAGGGCAAATGCTTATATCTCTTTGGAAATAATCCTATGACTAGAAAACCCTTGTCAATAATAAAATGAGAGCAAGTGCAGGTTTTTTGTGAAGGACTCTAGAATACTTTTAGCTATCATCCTGGCTCAGTCAAGAACCACCTCAGGAAGAGAGTCTCCGAGAGTTTGTCTAGATGGGGTTGGTCTGCGGGAGGACCCCATTCTCTCGATCTGGGTCATGGGCTGTCTCCAAGTGGAGAAAGTGTGTGTGTGCATTTACTGCTCCTGACTGTGAGTGCGGTGCAACTATGTGCATCAAGTTCTCGCTGCCTGACCTTTCCCCCAGTGATGACGGTACCCTGGAAATGCGAGCCAAGCAGAGCAAGGCTAAGTGTTATTAGCCCTTCCTCTGCTAAGCTGCCTTTCACTCAGGACACAGCGGTAGGGATGGAACTAGGACAGGTTCTGACGAGCTGAAGAACAGGGTTTCCCCATCACCAACTCCAGCAGGGTGAAGTGGGGTGATCAGGGTGCACCCGAAATGGACTCTTGAGAATCCCCTTTGTACATATGCCATGGGGAACTATGAAATGAATTTAAATATAACTCAAGTGCCAGGGAAGTTAGCAGGACCTGATGTGAATATTTTTGATGAAACAAAACGGAAAATACCCAAAACCTGGAGTCACCCCTGTCTGTCACAGCAGGAGGGACTTAGCAGTGAGATGTATGGGGTTTCGGGGCCCTCCACGTACTCTTCACTGTGTCTAAGCGTAGGGTTCCAATCACCCCACAAATCATTCTTCAGGATGAGTGGGAAAACGCTTTGTGAATACGCAAAGAGAACATTTTCCTTTCCTCTTTGGGGAAATACCCCCACGTCCACAGTGACAGATTTAATGTTTTAAAAGGACTGCTGACAGGGATCGACTCCAGCATAGCGACGACTCATGGGATGCTGTGCGTACCTAGCTTAACTTCTGCATTTTCAGTCAGCAGGACATTCTGCCCTTTAATATCTCGGTGAATCACTTTGTGCTGGTGCAGGTGACTCAGGCCCTGGCGGAATGAGAAGCGAGAGAGTTAACAGAACATAGCACATTTTTGAATGCTAACAATCACCCTCAAATAACTTGTCCAGTGATGCTTAAAGGAGTCTTATTCTCATTTTCACACACGCATGTTGCTGAGTACAACCACAGCACACAATTGGTTCCAACTGAAATACACACATGACATCATGCTAAACAAAATACACGGAACCTGATACCGGTACAACAAACTACACTCATGACGGCATGGATGGGTTCCCACCCGCTCGAAGCTCAGTTAATGTGGTGCTGTGGAAGAGATCTGTCTTTAGGAGCTTATTTGTAATGGACACATAGACAGTTTGCATAGAAAATTAACTTGACTTCATCAAATTTAACTTTTGGGAAGGTATTTCAATTTACAAGTTATCTTCCATTTTAATTAATCACAATGAAACACGTTTTGGGCCTGTCGAGGGCTTTCTCAGAGTGGGCTACGTTAGGAAAGAAAAATGGACCGGAGAGATAGCTCAGCCAGTCAGGTGCTTGCCTTGTGGAATGGAAACTGCATTAGATGTCATGATGACAAAGGGCCAAGCCAATAGCAGTGCTCACAATGCAGGGAGACGGGGCTAGGTGAATAGCTGGCGGGGGAGGGGCTCACAATGCTGGGGAGGCAGAGCTAGGTGGATAGCTGTGGGGAAGGGGCTCACAATGCTGGGAAGGCAGGGCTAGGTGGATAGTTGGGGGGGCGCGGCTAACAATGCTGGGGAGGCAGAGCTAGGTGGATAGCTGGGGGATGGGGGTGGGCAGGGGAGGGGCTCACAATGCTGGGGAGGCAGGGCTAGGTGGATAGCTGGGGGATGGGGGTGGGCAGGGGGAGGGGCTCACAATGCTGGAGAGGCAGGGCTAGGTGGATCACCGTCAGGGGTTGGGGGGAGCAGGGGGAAGGGCAGTGCTTTCTGGATAGTCAGCCTAGCAAAGTTGTTGATTTCCAGGCCAGTGAGAGACCCTGACTCTAGTGAAGCAATTAAGACAGCTGCTGAGGAATGACAGCTGAGGTAGCTTTGTAGTTCACACAGACACAAACATGCACACACACACCCAAAAAGGAAATAATTTGCTTCCTTAGTTGGCACCTACCACGTCACTTCAGAAATTGATAATTTTGAAACTACTGACTTTGTGGCAATAATCAAAAGACTTATGACGTCATGCTATTAGGCACCTAAGTGTCGTTATACTATTATGATTTCTTCTCCTTGTTGACGAAACAGCCTAAGAGTATGTGATTGGATGGTGGGAGGCACTGTTTGGGCAACACATTTTCTTTTGTATCTAGTCAGTTTGGCTCTAAGTAGGCAGTGCTCAGCTTTAAATACCTTCTTTTGTAACACATAAATGCAAGTGCTTACAGGCCTGACCACCCTCTCTATCCTGGACCAGAGTGGTTGGGATGCTATAGCAGAGCACACACGTGAGTGAAAGTCTGTGCAGTGAATAGTTGACCAACTCCAAAAACACTGTGACGAGGGACCTCAGGTGGTCAAACATTCCTTCCTATGAGTTACCTTTCCCTGGGTGCTTACATCATTTGGGAGGATGTACTGGAAGGGGGCGGGGAGAAACAGGCTGTTTTTAGGCATTTAAGAAGTCTAGGGTGAATATCTGTGCTACCTTTAGGTCCCTGGAAACAAATACCTGGTCTCCTGCTGGATTTTCCAGCAGGGCTAAGACAGGGCAGGCGTGGTGGCAGGGAGCAGCACACTGTTTCTGGGGGCCTCATAGATTCTGGGTGCCCACTGGGTGGCCCCAACTACAAAGGTTTTATGCTTTCTCTGACTGAGCAGCAGATAGAAATTTACATGGAGTTAACGGCAGATTAAAGCCTTGGAGAGAACTTTCAACTAACGTGGAAATCAGTCGCCTAAGCTAGCTTCTTCCCAAATTATGTTTCCATTTTTATTTCACAAATAACTTCTGTGTGCCCAAAGCTATACATTGTAGTTTCTATCTTTTGTCATACAGCTTTAGGTTTTCAGAATTGAGTATGAAGGTGGGGAGATGGTTTGACCAGTGAAAGGCACGCTGAATGTTGTGACTTAAAAAAAAACGGCATGCAAAAGGAAGATACCATGCAACATGGAGGGATTTTTATTGCGGGCAAAGGTGGGGAAAGGGAATAGGAAAAACAGGGGTGGGGGAGAAACTGGCCTCTGGTGATAGGAGTGGCAGAAGGGAAGAAGGGAGAGAGGGAGAGAGTGCAGGGCAGGGGTGGGGGTTGGGTGAGCAAGGCCCACCTTTAAAAGGGAACTTAGTGAATGTGCACAGGAGTGGCTGTGCACTGGGCACACATAGTGTACCAAACGGTGACTGCAGCTGGGTACACATCCAGCTGTTAGAATAAAGCCATTAAATACATTTCCACCACACTTAGAAGTTTCTCTAGCAAGACTGAGCAGAGTAGACTGTCTCCCAAGACATCCCATGTTACCTGAAGGAACTGGGGAAGGCAGTGCCCACTTGTCACCTACCCGTAAGATCTCCCTGCAGATGTACGCAATCCACTCTTCTTTCAGTGTGTTGCCCTTCGTGTTCTTGATCAGGTCAGTGACGGAGCCAGCACCACAGAACTCCATCACCAACTGGCAAGAGAAGGAAACAGCCATGTATTACGATCATGCTTGGCTTCCCTCCCTCACTAAGTTGGGTTTAGAAAGCACACACACACTGCCCTCTGGTCTGTAGTTTCTGAATGCCAGTCCTGCACTGAAAATGCAGTAATCATAAAACAGTATTTAAATCTCCATCCTTTCTATTAAGTCCTTGTGAAAATCACAGAGAGCAAAGGTTGCTTTTAATATTGCTGATTGAGGAAGTATTACTGAACCTTGAGACTTTTCTTTTGAAAACAGTCTTTTCTCACCCAAAACGTCCCAGGCACAGCTTCCCTACCCCTGCTCCTCCTAGCCTTTTACCCAAAAACAACTCAGCATAAACTTTATAAACTTTGAAAACTTAACGATTGTTTTTATGGTATTTTTACTTGTTTATAGTTGTTTGTTTTATCCAACTTAATGAAGGACTTGAATAACAGCGAAATGTCACATTCAAAATGACCTTATGGAAGAGGCAGAAGCTCAGTTAGATTGTTTTGCTGAGAATGTATCAATATTGTATACTGAACATGCATAGAGAGCCTTGTTTCATTGGAACAAAAGCCACATCCCATGGTATGTTGACATTTCAGAATCTTGATTAAAGTGCATTAAAATCTGCAAAAAAGTTTTTTTATAATTTAGCTTTGTTGTGTGTGTATGTACATGAGTATGTATGTGTGTGCATGCATATATCTGTAATACACAGAACCACTTGCGGGGGGGGTCGGTTTCTTCCTCTACCATGGAGATCATAGATACCAAACTCAGGTCATCAGACATGGTGGCAAGTGTACTAACCCATCTCGCTGACCCAAAATTATTATTATTTTAAGCAATATTTTATAGCCAGAAATAAGGAACATTCTCCATAGTCAAAGGCTTTCTTCTTTGTTTGTTTTTATGAAATAGGGGCAGATCAACAACTCAGATAAAGTTAAGGCCATCTCTGTGACTTGTGTTTCCTACACAGCAGGAGGCTTCCTCTGTCCAGAGAACCATGGTCCTCTAGGAAGTCCCAGTTAGGCCAATGCTAGTGCAGGCTGTTTATGTTATTGGTTTAGATGTGACACTGTAAGCTGTCAGAGGGCAGAGGATCTGGTTTTAATTAACTTCAGTAAGTGTTCCCAGGAGGTTGGACACATCAAATAAACTCAATAAACAATAAACTCTAATTTAGCACCTTTCATCCAAAAAGCTCCAAGCAGTCTATAAATATAAACTCATTACTGCACTCAGCAACTTTATAAAACGGGCAGAGGGTAAGCATTGCTGCAGACTAGAATCCGGAATCCGGGCTTTCCCATTCATTCCCAGGTTTAGAAAAAGCAACTCCATTTCATCCTTTCTCTTTTACATAGTCTTCAACAAAAGCCCTCTTAGTTAGAAGAACATTGATTTCATAATTAATTACAAATAATTAGTAATCAATCCCCAATTTGATAGGAGAGAGAGAAACAAAGCAGAGGCATAGTAGAGCGCACATGTGTGTATCAGCTCTGTGTCACTAGCTCTGTGTCACTAGCTCTGTAAAAGGCACCTCCAGGTGCTCAGGGAGAGGGCTCAGAGGTGAAAGATCTGACTGTGAAGAGTGTGTGGACCCGGGGTTCAGGACCCACCTAATACGGATGACTTTGGGTGCCCATCTGTAAATCTGGCCTCAGAAGATGGAGCTAGATGCTTAGTGAAAGCAGCCACATCAGTGAGCTCTGTGTTTGACTGATAGATCCTGCCTCAAGGAATAACATCTAAGAGAGATCCCGGATGATCTGACATCAGCTGTAGTCTTCCCTATGCGCAGATGCACACATTCACACACATGCAAAACAGACACCACACAGACATGCATGTGAACACACACACACACACACAAAGGGGGGGAGAGAAAAAAATTACCCAACTGGGTGCAAAATCTTTAGGCAGAAATTAAACTGTGCAATTGTGTTCCTCTTTCTCTGTATGCCTGATAGACTCAAAAAAATTCACAACTGGTACTGAGGATGCAGCTCAGTTGTACTGTGTTTGCCTAGCATGTGCAAAACCCTGGATTTGACCCTCAGCACTACCTGTGAACCCCACATTGGGAGGTGGAGGCAGGAAGAACAGATATTCAAGGTTAGTCTCTATTCTTCCACAGTGTTTGAGGCCATCTTGGGCCTCAAAACACACAAAATAATTTCAACCACAAGTTCCTAGAGCCTGCTCTGATTTGACGTACAGTTGGAGCAAAGCTGGCTCTCATCGGAAACTCTTGTTATCGTTTCCAGAGCCAGTCTCGCAGGAAACTTCTATAGGGAAATGGGAAATATGGAGGTGTAGAATAAACTACACTCCAATCAGGAAGAGCTAAACTTCTTTCATATGCTACAGCCAGGCAGCTCACAAAGACCACAGAATCACATCAAGGATTCAGGGGTCAATTTGACACGCTTGCAGTGGCCAGAGAAAGGATAATTGGTAAAATGAATAACCCCACCAAAGCAATGGTGTTGCCTAGAAACACAGGATGGGATAATGAAGTCACTCGCAAAGAGAAAACTGGCACAATTAGAGAAAATATGGAACTGAGACGACAAACGAATTTGTGAAGTGAGAACCAGGAGCTGTCCTGGCTTTGTTGTTCGCGTGTGTGTACACATGATGGAGTACACACCAAAGCACATGTGTGGAGGCTGGAGGAGTACACGCGTGTGCGCCTCTGTAGCTCTCGCCTTGTTCCCTCGAGAGACAGGGTCTCTCACTGAACCTGGAGCTTCCTGGTCTTTCATTAGGCTGGGACAGCAAGCCCGAGGGATCAGCCTTTCTGTCCCACCTCCAGCACTTCGATTATATGTGCTCGGCCATGCCTAACTTTGTTTCCCCTGTTATTTATTTCCCTTTATTAACTGATTCCTCACAGGGCTGCTCAAACTTTTAATAAAAGCGTTAATTTTACATTTGTCCACACGGTGTTGTGATTACATTCACCCCAGCGACCTTCTCTCTACTCTCCCTTTGTCTTCACAACCATTCCCATCCCTACCCCTGTGTTCTGTCCACTCCCTCCTCCCCTATTTCTTACCTTTTCAGACTCCCTGTGGGCAGTCATGGCTACTATGTGTTTGTGATTGCAAGGACAATCTCACGCCCAGAAGACAGCCCAATGGTACCCTTACCTTTCAGCTCTCAAAGTCTGTTCCTATGTGGGCACTGGAGACCTGAACTCGGGGCCTCGCTCCTGCACAGCAGGTTCTCACGCCCACTGAGTCATCTCCAGCCCTATCCTGGCTTCCTTATATAACTCTAATACTGGATACGTAAATAACAAAATGTAGAAAATGTCTGTCCATAAAGCTAAGTATTTTGCCTGACAATTGAGAAATAGAAGAGAAGAGAATCACTATTTTATACCTCTTAGGAAACTTACAGTCGATCATCCATGATAGCTAACTTAAAAATGTAAGAAATAAACATGATCTGTCTCATAAGAAGAGAACGCAGAACTGTCTATGAGTCAGCACTGCTGAAAATCAAACAAACCCCACAAATGTAAATCTGCCCCAACCTTGAGTGCCAACCGCCTACCTCATGGGAAACTGGGGGACTGAGGGACACAAGATGCAGCCTAGACTAGGAAACCTGTTTAGACAAATAGTTTCTTTAAAAAAAAAATATTTATTTCTTTATTGGCTGTACAATATCTGCCTGCATGTATGCCTTCAAGCCAGAAGAGGGCACCAGATCTCATTACAGATCTGTCACCATGTTGTTGATGGGGATTGAACTCAGGACCTCTGGAAGAACAGTCAGTGCTCTTAATTTCTAAACCATCGCTCCAGTCCTAGACAAATGGTTTCTTCACGAACAAATCGCTTGGGAGGAAGAAAAGATGATAGAAAAGAAACCTTCAGACTTAAAATTCTTTAAACACACATCAGCAGATTGGGATTGCAATGGACATTATTTACTTGGACATCGATTTTAAAAAGTAGCTGTTAAAAGTTTGTTTGTTTTATTTGTCAGGCATGGTAGTGCATGCTTTTAATCCCAGCATTTTCGAGGCAGAGGAAGGTAAATCTCAGTTCAAGGCCAACCTGGTCTATACAGTAAATCCCAGGACATTCAGGGCTACTCAGGGAGACTTTGTTAAAAAACAACCAAAACAAACAAACAAAAAGAAGAAACCTAAGCCAGGAAAAGCAGCTGCTAGTTGAAACAATTGCAACTTTTTATATAAATGTAAGTATTTGAAGAGACTAAAGAAATATAGTTTGGGTTTTTTAAAAGTGTGATGCTTCTGTGGTTATTTAAAAAATCTCATAGTTAACACATAAATGCTGAAACACTTTTATGCAGAAAGAACATTGCTAATAAAGTGAAAAGGAGAAGTCATAAAATATGAAAAACTATCTTAAATTTCATTTTATTATTTTGTGAATATGGGCATCATTCCTGCAAATCTATCTGTGCACTCCATGTGTGCAGTGTCCAGGGAGACCAGGCAAGGGCCACTGATGCCCTGGAAGTGGAGTTACAGACAAGTGTCACCCTCCACATGTGTGCTGGGAATTGATCCTGGGGCCTTTGGGAGAGCAGCCGCCGTTCTTAACTTCTGAGCCATCTCTCCAGCCCAATATTAAAAAATATTTATAACTTGTGTTTGATAAGGATATAACATCCAGAATTTATCAAGAACTCTCACAACACGACAAAAAGACCCAGCTTAAGCATGGGCATAAGAGCTGGCCGTGGTGGCGCACACATGATAGGCAGAGACGGGAAGATTGCAATGGGCTCCAGAGGAAAAACCTTGTCTCAAAAAAAAAAATACAAATAACAACTCAAAAATAAGAAAGTAAACCGATGAAATGAAGTGAAGATGAGAAATAACTTGAATGGGCACTTGTTTAAATTTTAGGGTCTCCAGGATATACGAAACGGTGAGCACTGGTGTGAGAAGATGCTGACGATCGGAGCGCTATATGTGAAATGCCCAACAATGGCATGGA